GCGAGCAGAGGGCGCGCCTGTGCCCGGGGAGCGCGGAGGAGGAGGAGGAGGAGGCTGGGGCGGCGGGGAGGGGGGAGCGGGACCCGCGGCGCGCCGGCCCCCGTCGCCCTTCCCCCCCTTCGGGGTACGCGCGGCGCTGCCCCCCCGTTCACGCCGCGGGGACGCGCGGGCCGCAGCCGTTCCCGCCGCGCCTGCGCTCGCCGCGTGTACGAGCCCGGGGCGCGGGCACGGCCTCCCCCCGGCAGGCGGCGCACGGCGGCGAGCGCGGCGCGGGCTCGGCCCCGAGCCGGGTGCGGCGGGAGCGGCGCGGCCGTTGGGCGGCGCTCGGGGGCGCGCCCGCGCGTCTCCGCGGAGGGGCGGCGGTGGCGGGAGGTGCGGGAGCGATCCTGCCCCGCTYCACTCTTTGTGTTCCCTGACTGCCGCCGAGAGCAAACAGCTCTGCYCACCCAAACGCGCCTGCTCTGCTCTGTGCGAACACTCTGGGGGTGGTGTTGAATTTTAACAGGCATAACGCGATCGCTAGSATGGAATAAAAGCTTTTATTGCGCTGTTCATCTCCCACCTCCAGTTTTCTTTCCTAAAAGCACCTGATGAGATGCCCTCCTGATGGTGTAGCTTTCACTGGAGTAATTTGTACATAAATATAACTTTACTGTGTTAGTGCTAGAGTAAAATGTAGCAGGTCTGCTTGGGAAAAAAAATATCGTAAATACTTGTGTTGGAAAGTACAGGGAATTAAAGATGTCACTGGAATAGTGGAGTCATCTCCTGGGASCARCAGRCTGAWTTTTTTTTTTYRTTGGGTTGGTAACKCCTTCCTCTTCCTGAGCCATTTCTGAGAGGTTTCTGTGCAATGCACTCGCATATGGAGTGAATTTTGCTCCTGCTGGATCACTGTATTTTGCTGTTTTCTTCAAAATTAATTATTTTTTCCACCCTCTATTAGACATAATGAAATTAAGTCCCTGTTTTGCCTGGGTAGTCAAAACTTCTAGGCTTGTTTTTGTAGTAACAATGGTGATTTACATTCAGAAGGCAGAATTAACTGTCTGGAATAGGTCAAGGACTAATCAGTTCAAACTCAAAGAGGGGAATTTTGGGTTGGATATRCAGAAGACATTCTTTWCTGTGAKGRTGGTGAAGCACAGGAACAGGTTGCCCAGAGAAGTTATGGGTGCYCCATTCCTGGAAGTGTTCAAGGCCAGGTTGGATGGTGCTTTGAGCARCCTGTTCTAGTGGAAGRTGTCCCTGGCCAWGGCAGGGRTGCTGCAAGTAGATGATCTGTAGGGTCCCTTCAAACCCAAACCATGATTCTATGAAATCTTTGAAGTATTTCTGATCCTGTACAAGAACTCTCTCCAGTATGGAAGGAACTTCCCTTTTGCAATAATGACGCACTATTTCTTCAACACTTCTGCAATAGCCTTATTGCTCCTGAGAAACATGTAKCTGCTGGTGTACACCACACTGACTAGCAAATGACACCTCTTCCTTTCATTAAYACTTTCTCTTCCAGCTCTATCTGTGCAGTACCTGACAGAGTATGGGTATGCGTAGCGTCTAAGGTCAGGTTCTGCTGCAGTGTGAGTAATCAGAATTAAATTAGTAGTGGAAAAAAAATACAGTACCTTACCAAATGTATGGCTATTCATTTATTTTCTCTTTTTTTATGTCATAGGCTACCGCTGAATGTGTGTTTCTGCRTGTTTCAAATTGTATCATTAGTAGCTCCCATTAAAATACTAAAATAGGGGAAGCATATGTTCAATTTCTGGACTAGGTAATTATGAATTGTGGAGAATAAAAAATAAAGCATTGTTACTGTCTAACTGTGTGTGCTGGGTTGACCCTGGTGCCCACCAAAGTCAGAGACAACTGGGCACGAGAGAGAAAATTTATTGAAAGGCCTATGTGTTGAGATAGAAGGGCAGGGACAAATTGCTCACCAATTACTGTTACAGGMAAAACAGAAGAAATTATTTTAATTTATTATGAGTCAAATCAGAGTAGGGTGATGAGAAATAAAAGCTAAATCTTAAAACATCTTTTTCCCCACCTCTCCCTTTTTCCCAGGCTTAACTTCACTCCCAAATTCTCTCCTCACTTCCTCCTTTTCCCTGCCAACAGCACGGGGAAATGGGGAATGGGGGCTGGAGTCAGCTCATCATATATTGTCTCTGCTGCTYCTTCCTTCTCAGGAAGTGGACTCCTCAAACTCTTCCCCTGTTCCAGCATGGGATCCTTTCCACGGGTGACAGTCCTCCATAAACTTCAACACAAGTGCTTCCCATGAGCTGCAGTTCTCCCCAAACTGCTCCAGCATGGGACCCTTCCTGTGGGGTGCAGTCCTTCAGGCACAGACGGCTCCAGTGTGGGTCCCCTGCAGGGTCACAAGTCCTGTCAGCAAACCTGCTCTAGTATGGGCTCCTCTCTTTGTGGCTCCACAACTGCAAAAAGTCTGCTCCAGTGCACATTTCCCATAGGGTCACAGCTTCATTTGGGCTTCCACCTGCTCTAGCTGTGGGTTCTCCATGCGCTGCAGGTGAATATTTGCAGCACCGTGAACCTCCATCGGCTGCATTGGCAATAACTGCCTCACCATGGTGATCTCCAAGGGCTGCAGGAGATTCTCAGCTCCAG